TTGCCTGGGTCTGTAACCTAGCTGCACTAATGAGGCTTGTAAGGCCGAAACGAATCAGTCTGCAGATATTTATTCCGTTTATCCCATTTGCTTATTGAAATATATATATACCGTATATATATATACCTGTATGAGATTATATACCGAACACAAAGCCGCTGCCGAAGGCACTTTGAGCCTGTCATTTAAGAAATACTGTTTCGCGGGAACGATACATTATTTTGAGGGAACGAAATATTATTTTGAGGGAATGAAATATTATTAGACGGAACGAAATATTATTTCGACGGAACGAAATAGGCCTATTTTTTCGAAGAAACAAAATATTATTTCGAGGGAACGAAATATTATTTTGAAGGAATGAATTATTATTTCTAGGGAACGAAATATAATTTCAAGTGGACGAAATAGGCCTATTATTTCGACGGAACGAAATAGGACTATTATTTCGAGAAAACGAAATATTATTTCGAGGGAACGAAATATTATTTTGAGGGAATGAATATATTATTTTGAGGGAATAAAAATATTTCGAGGAAACCAAATATTATTTTGAGGGAACGAAATATTATTTAAAGGGAACGAAATATTATTTCGGGAAACGAAATCACTTTGTTCCCTTGAAATGATTTCGTTCCCTAGAACATCAAGATCTAAATAATAAAGTAGGCCTACTAATAAAGTAGGCCTATGGATTTATAAAGCGAATAATGCAAAAAGCCTCTGATCAAAATTCAACAAATTTTGAATTTTCAACAACAACAACAACATTAAGATAAAATCGCAGCCACATGCCCTTTGCGCAGTGCTGCCGTCGAAGGTACTGTGAGCATATCACATACAAAATATTATTTCGAGGGAACGAAATATCACTGTTTTGAGGGAACAAAATGCTATTTCGAGGGAACGAAATATTATTTTGAGGGAACGAAACATCATTTCGAGGGAAGGAAATATTATTTTGAGGGAACGAAATATTATTTTGAGGGAACGAAATAATATTTTCGAGTGAAGGAAATAATATTTTGAGGGAACGAAACATAATTTCGAGAACGAGATAATATTTCGAGAGAAATATCATTTCGAGGCCAGAAATATTATTTTGAGGGAACGAAATATTATTTTAAGGGAACGAAATATTATTTTAAGGGAACAAAATAATATTTCGAGAGAACGAAACATTATTTCGAGGGAACGAGATAATTATTTGAGAGAACGAAATATTATTTTGAGGGAACGAAATAACATTTCGAAGGAACAAAATATTATTTTGAAGGAATGAAAAAATATTTTCGAGTGAACGAAATAATATTTTGAGGGAACGAAACATTATTTCGAGGGAATGCGATAATATTTCGAGAGAACAAAATATTATTTCGAGGGAACGAAATATTATTTCGAGGGAGCGAAGTATTTATTTTGACCGAACGAAATAATATTTACAAGTGAACAAACACAAGGAAACGAAATAATAATATTTCGATAGAACGTAACATTATTTCGCAGGAACGAAATAATATTTCGGGAGAACGAAATAATACTTCGAGGAAACGAAATCATTTTGTTCCCTTGAAATGATTTTGCTCCTTCGAAATAATTAGTTGTTCCCTCGAAATGTCATTTCGAGGAAACGGAATATTATTTCGAGGGAACGAAATAACTTAATACTTTTTCTAACCATGTCTCGTTAGGAGCTCCGTATGTATGCGCTAAGAGCTATTATTTTGACATTATTGATGTAATTCCTATGAACTATACCTACACCCTAAACTAAGCTTAATTGAAATTTCAATAGTTCATGCTTAGAAAGTAAAAAACGTTTAAATGCGACAAAAGAAAATATAGATATGCCAATGGTAGTTAAAAATTAGGAAGCAGTTAGCCGAATCTACGGCAATATACGATAATGGGAAATGACAACAGTTATATTAAAATAATAATTAGATCAAAATGTAAGGCCACAAAAATCACTTTCATAGGCTTGCAGATAAAAAATTTCATATTAAAAGAGTAAAAGGAATATAATGTAGATAATTTATTTAATAATTAATTTATCTATTTATTTTGCGCTAATTCCATTAAACTATGTTCTCTATGTGAACATAGAAAAGAACGATTACAAATTTATAATATAAACGATATATTAATTTCTACATTCCAGTCATTTCAAAATGATTGCCGCCAGCGACCGAAATTGTTATACATAAGTTAAAAAAAGCTTTAGTCTTATGAACAGCATTACACTAAATAAAAGATGATCAAATTTTAGACAGAAAAACAATGAGGCATAATGCAAATATAACAATTTAAGAAAAGGGTAAATTATCAACTTAGATGAATTACAACATTATACAGTATTACCACCCTCTTCTATATATATTTTAAGAGAAGTTGGTGGTTAAGTTTGGATGAAAAAATAGTTGATGTAATTGAGATAACACCGGATTAATATTATTTTCACCATCTTATAGAGCGTATCCTATAAAGGTTGGCTATTATATAGGGGCCTACTTAAATGAATTAAATAATATGT